ATTCCAATGTTTATGCCTTTTATTTCACTTTCTTGCCTTATTGCATTGTCTTGTACTCTAGGTCAATGTGGTAAGAGTGGATATTTTCCTGACTTTAGATGAAAAATGTCTAATATTTCAACATTAATTATGATATTAGAGTGGAATTTTCTTAAATAGGTCTATCAGATTTCCTTCTAACCTGGCATTTTGGGGATAAATACCATAGGGCCATGATTTATTATCTTTTTTACTTTTTGTTGGACTTGATCTGGTCATAGTTTGGTATGGTTTTTTACATCTTTATGGGTGATATTGGTTTATAATTTTCCTTATACTTTTGTCATGTTTTGGTATTAGGGTTAAAATAATAATAAAGTGTGTTGTCATATGCTCTCTCTACCTATTTTATTCTTGTTTCTTTTTGAGAACCCAAATTGGCTTATCCAATATTCCTTATTATTTCTTTTAGTAATATTTAATTGTATTCTACTTTATTGCTTCCTCTCCTCTAGTTTGTATTAATTTATTATTTTTATAGCTTCCCAAGTTGGCAGCATAGATAATTGGTTTTAAACCTTTTTTTTAATTTTTAATATAATTTTTTAAAGGTACAGATTTCCTTCTAAATATTGCTGTAGTTAATTTTACAAATATTTATATGTTGTGATTTTATTACTATTTAGTTATAAGTATTTTCTAAATTCTCCTATGATTTCTCCTTTGGACTCATGGATTATTTAGAAGGGTATTGCTTAATGTCCAAATATTTGGGGAAGAATAATTTCTAGACATCTTACTATTGATTTCTAGTTAAATGCTTTGTAGACAGGGAACATAATCTGTATAATTTAAAAAATTTATTGAGAGGTTTTTTAAAATAATGTGTGGTTTATCATATAACTATTCTTCAATGTAATTGACAAAAATGTGTATTATATGAATTCTGCTTTGTTGAGTTTAGTATTCTAAATATATTTTAAGTTAAATTTCATTGATAGTATTTTTCAAATCTTCTATATCTGTACTATATTTTTTTAACACTTCTTAAGAAAGGGATGTTAAAATCTCTAACTATGTGTGAATGTTTCTATTTCTGCCATTATTTCTGCTAGTTATTTGCTTCATATATATTAAAATTCTTAGGTGCATACATATTTGGGGTTGTTATGCTTTATTACTGAAATGGCCATCTGTCTATAGTATTACCCCTTTATCATTGTGAAATAACACTCCTCTTCTTTGGTACATTGGCATGAAATCTACTTTTTTTGATATTTATATAGGCATACCAGCTTTCTTATGTGTGGATTATGTGATGTATATTTTTCCCATTCTGTTTTTCAATCTGTCTATGTCTTTACATCAAAAGTGCATCTTTTTAAATAGAGCTTGTATTTGGCCACTTTCTTATCTAGTTTAACAAACTGCCTTGTAATTGGAGTAGTTTTCATGCATATCTAATGTAACTATTGATATTTGTGTTTAAGTGTGCAATTTTGCTATTTGATTTCTATTTGTCTCCTCTATTTTATGTTCCTTTGTTCCTCCTTTTCAGTATTTTTAGATTAATTGAATATTTTTAGTATTCCATTTTATATCATCTATTATCTTTTACCTGTGTCTTTTGTGTTGGTTTTTAATGGTTGCTCTAGAGATTACAATATGCAGCTTTATGTCATTGCCATCTTCCTTGAATCAGTATTATAAATCTGTATATAACATGAAACAGTCACATATTAGTATACTTTTATTTTCATCCCTCCTTGCCTTTATGCTCTTGATACCTTATATATGTTTTTTACATACAATACCCATAATATATTGCTATTGCTTTTGCATTAGTCAACTGACTTTTTTAAATGGAAGAAAAGACACAATATTTTATATTTATTCATATATTAAGTGTTTAAAATTTCTCTTCCTTTTTTCCCCCTTTAGATCTGATCTCAGTATTTCCTTTCAGCCTTGAAAATTTCTTTAGTCTGTCTTGTCATGAGGGTCTGCCCATAATAGCTTTTGCTTATCTGAAAATATCTTTATTTTGCTTTAATTTTTGAAAGCAGTTTTTGCCAGACATAGAATTTTAGGTTAATAGTTTTTTCTTTCAACATGAAGATTCTAATACATTGTCTTCTAGTCATCATTGTTTTTAACACTAGATCAGCTATCCTTCACATGCGTGTGTGTGTGTGTGTGTGTGTGTATGTGTGTATGGGTGTGTATAGACTGTTTTTCATTTGCATTTGCGTTTTAGAGGTGTGACTATGATTTTCCTAGGTGTGGTTTTCTCCTTGTGTCTTGGATTTATTGTTTTTCATAAAATGTATAAATCAGCCAATTTTTTGAAGATAATTTTTCTGTTTTGATCTCTCTCCTTTCCTCTAGAGCAGGGGTCTTCAAACTTTTTAAATAGGAGACCAGTTCACTGTCTCTCAGACCATTGGAGGGCTGGACTATAATTTAAAAAAATCTATGAACAAATTCCTATGCACACTGCACATATATTATTTTGAAGTAAAAAAACAAATGGGCAAAAACACCCGTATGTGGCCCGTGGGCTGTAGTTTGAGTACGCCTGCTCTACAGTTTCCATTTATAAGTATGTTAGACCACTTTGTAATGTCCGTACGTTTATTAAGACTCTGTTATAATAATTTTTTATTCATTTATTTCTGATTTCTGTGCTTTCATTTGAATAATTTCTGTTGAACTCCCTTCAAGTGTACTGATATTTTCTTGTTGCTATCTGCTGTTCATCTCATCTACTAAAATGTTCAATTTCAGATACTGTGTTTTTCAGCTTAGAGTTTAAACATGTTTTTTTTTCCAGTTTCTATACGTCTGAAATTTCCCATTTGGTAATTTTTTAGACCCAAATTCTTTTGTAGATTTTATAATATCTTTATTATAGTTATTTAAAAATTCTTGTTTGATAATTTCAGTATCAGGATTATTTATATTGCCGTAGTTTTCCCTTGAGTATGTGTCACATTTTCTTATTTATTTTCACATGCAGTGAATTTTTACTGATTTTGTGAATGTTACATTATAGATAGCCTGGATTATTTTATTTCCTTTGGAATATTTGTGTGTTTAATGTAGCAGCCAATTGTGTTGCCAGTCCAATTCATTAAACTTGGAGAGGCTTGGTATTAGATTTTGTTGGGGCAGACCTGTTTTTGTTTGCCTTTAATACTAAGGCAAGTAGTCTTTCAAAATATTCTTTACTTCTAACTTGTGGCCTTTCTATGATGTCACTGGAAAGCCCACGTTGTTTCCCAAGACCCCCCCCTACATTGGAAGGACTAGAATTTTAAATTCTGATGCCCCCGTCTGAGAAGTAAAGCTGCTGAAATCTCTATTTGGTTCTTTCACCCTTCCATTGGTTGGTTTTCTCCTGTGTTCTTTAGAGTCTTACAGGTAAGTGATCAGCCATAAATTTATTTGTGGGTTGTAGGTCTTGGGTTTTTCCCTATGCATTTCTTTTTTCTTGGACCCCTAACTCCATTCCCAGCTGCTTTTTGCAGTGTTGTGGTAGCTTCACACTTTGACTCTTCAGGGCAGTAAGACTGTGAACTTTTGATTGAATTCCAGTTACACTGTCCTAGGGGGAAAAATACGTAAAAGTAAATCTTACCGAGTGTGCGTTTTTTATTTCAAAGGGTAGTTTCCCTCTTCATTTGGCTTCTCTTAAGTACTTTCAAAAGGTGTTTTTATATTTTGTGTAGAATTTGTCTTTGTCTTCAGCAGGAGGCTTAGTTGATTATAAGCTACTGCACCATTACTAGAAGTCAGAACTTCTCTGAAGGCTTTAGTTGGTGGGTTTATACCATTTATAATGCTTTTAAGTACTTTTTATAAGGACTTAATTTCTATTATCTTATTTATATTTTCTGTTTAGTGTTTTTCATTTTTATTTTCTTTTTTCTTATTTATTTAAAATAGATCAAATTTTCTTTTGTTTGTGTAAAAGATATTCATTCAATTTTATTCTTTATGTGATTCTCCCTAACTTAAGATGCTTATTATTAAGATATTGATAGAAAACTTAAAAAACCTTTTCTATCAATAATTGTTATTCATAATCCTCCTTATCAAGAAAAGAACAATGACATACCTATCCTTGGTGTCTGTCACCATGTCTGCCATTTTGGTAATTTAGAGTTTTAGTTCTTTGTTACCAAGGACAATTTTTTTCAGATTTGAGCATGGGGAAGGGGATACAACAGCCTAATCTAGTTTACCATTTTGCCATATGTTGCATAAAGTTGCTTTTTAAATAAAATATATTTCATTAGATATACGGTCACTTTTTAAAAAATGCAATACTCAGAAGCTAATAAGGAAATAACTTCTAAAGGAAGGCTGATATAGAACTTGTGGATATAATGTATTTTTAATAGTTAGTGATTCCTTTTTGGCAAAAGTTAGGAGAAAACAAAACATAGTCTTCATTTGGAAATTAAGGTAAATTCCTTAACTCCTAGCATATTGATTGTTTATTATATATTTTTCTATAAATTTGTAAGCCTCTGAGTTAAAAATCTGTCAAGAAATATTATTGAGATATTCAGTAGAACTAAGTTAGGAATCAGGCTGGGACTGACAATAGAAAGGAAGATACATTTTAGAAAGACACATTTCATGGTAATGGACACCCAGTTACTCTGATTTGATTAATTCACATTGTATACCTATATCAAAACATCACAAGTACCCTATAAAGATATATAACTATTATGTATCTATAACAATTAAAAATAAAAAAAGAAAGATACACTTAAAAAAAAAAAAGAAAGGAAGATAGATGTTTAATGTTCTCAGAGAAGAGGTATCTAAAAAAACTGTCTGGAACTGCCTGGATTTATGGTCCTGAAGAGCAGTCTTCACTCAGGGGGGTGGATAGCAACATTTCTGGTTATCCATAAGTGAAGGCAGTTAGCTAAAAGAAAGTGAATGGGAAAAGAAGGAAGAAGCTAGACTGTTGAATGGAATGGTTATTCCTTGTGTTTCTACAGAGGAGAGAGAATGTGTGCCTATGCCTGAGGAAGGAAAGATGTGGAAAGAACACTACCTACTTCTCTATGCCTCCCACTCATTCCTCTCCAGGGTTTGAGGTGATGTATCTTAGTTCATCCCCACTACTATAACAAAATACCGTAGACTGGGCAGTTTATAAACAGCAGAAATTTATTGCTCTCAGTTCTGGAGGCTGGGAAGTCTAAGATGAACGTACCAGCAGATTCGGTGCCTGAGGGCCTATAGATAGAGACTTCTGTGTGTCCCCATATGACAAAAAGGGTAAAGGGGCTCCTTCAAGCTTCTTTTATAAGAGAACTAATTCCATTCATGAGAGCTCTGCTCTTGTGACTTACTCACCTCCTAAGGACCCTAACTATGGACATTAATTAAGTTTCAACATATGAATTTGGAGGGAACATATTCCAACCATAGCATTGAGAGGTGAGTTAGAAAGTAGAGACTCAGCATGCCCTGAACTTCCAGATCTGCTTGGCAGTCATTTTCAACCTATGCCAATGGATGAGTTTAATCCTACAGTAGAATGTTAGCCACCCCTTTCCACTGCAGATATAAAGCTGTGTTCTTCAAAGAGAGTGAACAGTAAAGCATTGATATCTTTATTCTCTATCTGCCTGCTTCATTTGTCTTCTTATTTGGTTTGGAATTTGAGAGAAATGTTACTTATCTATCCATTTAAAACCCAACCATATATTTCTGTATCTAGTCAATTTGTATGATGATCAAAATAATAGCAATATTTCAGAGCACCAAAAAGAGTAAAAATGAACTACTGATACATGCAGCAACTTGAATGGATTTAAAGGGTATTATGCTGAGTGGGGAAAAAAAAAACAAAAACAATCTCGAGATTTCACAGTGTCTGATTCCCTTTATATGACATTCTTGAAATAGAGATGGAGAACACATTCGTGGTGGCCAGGGGATAGGGATGGAGTGGAAGGAGTTCTTTTGTAGGGATAGAAGAATTCTGTTTTTTGATTGTAGTGGTGGTTATGTGAATCCATGCAGAGGATAAAACTACATAGAACCATGCACACAAATAAGTTTTTTGCAAAGACCTGGTAAGATCTGAATGAGGCTTGTAGTCTATATAAGAGTATTATATCATTGTAGTTTCCTGGGGAGCCAATCATAATCCTGAAAGACACAATTCCAAATTCCATAATCCCAAGAGATCAAAATATCTAAAATCTGAAATTCCCAAAATCATAATCCCAAGAGATCAAAATTTCAAGAATACATTTCTGGAAAAAATAATTTTAAAATAATTTAAAAGGTATTTATTTACATTTTCAAAAGGGAATTTATTTGAGAAATATGTAAAAACATGACTGAACACTTTATAGGCCACTTTACACAATGAAATAGGCAATAATAACATTTTGCATAAACACTCAGGTGTATGCTAATGATAGCACAGTTACGAGCAAACAAATTGTATTCTTAAAGAAGTACATCAGAAAGGGAAATATATAAACACACATTACTATTATTGGTAATTATCTGCATCCAGCTTTATAACTTTGTCATCTGAAATACTGTGATGAACAACTTAAGTCTTTGGACAAGATTGATCACAAACTGTGATGGGTTGCCAAAACATCTGCAATTACAGAGATCTTGAGAAATTTTGTTTTTCATAAATGCAGATGTACAGAAAGGACACATCTTCATTGATTGAGGAAGTTTCAGTGTTTTTACAAATACGCACAATGTGTATACCCAAATTCAGTGTTGTAATAATGCACTTTTATGGAGTCAGATTTGTACAAAATTCATAAAACAAATTAGAACTCTCTGCAAGTCTGTACACAACTTATACCTCCAGTGTTAGAAATGGTGCAAAGATGAAATACATAGCAAGTGAATTGTTAAAAAGGATGCTGACACTTTAAAATATTGAAAAGAAAACTAAAAAAAGGAAAAAGAAAAAAATTTGACCTATGAAAAAGTATACTATAGGGGGATAGATTATGGGCAGTTGCACAGAGATAGTCCATAAGAGCTGGTTGACTTTCTCAGTCATTAACTGTATTTTGAAGTCTTGCATCATGACAAATAGCTGCTTTTTTTTTTTTCTTTCAGGACATGGCTGTCCTTATAGAATACATTCACATTCATTTTCTACATTTTCATTTTCTATGTGTCTCCTTAAGCCATACTTGATTTCCAAATAAAGATGATAACAAGGTAACAGTTCTGCTTAACATAGTGCAGCTATCCTATGATTGTGATTTGGGGATTTTAGGTGTTAAGTATTTTAATCTTTTGAGATTTAAACAGTGGGATTGTATCTTTCAGGATTATGATCCAAACAGAGTTTCCTGGATTTGATAATTTTGGAGGATGTTACCATTGGGAGAAGCTGAGCAAGGATACACAAAACTCCCTATACCATTTTTGCAACTTCCTGTGAGTTGATAATAATTTTTACAAAAAAAAGTTAAAAAAAAACCCAAAACTGTGCAAACATGGTCACTTAATCTAAGTCCCTCCTCACCTAAAAGATAACAAGCAGGGAAATGCAAAAGAGTTTATTAAAGGCAGATATGCCATAAGAGCCCATTCCGCAATAAATTTTGTCTCAGCTTAAAGTCATAACACAATCTCAAAAACTCAAGAAAATATTCTAAATAATAAATTTCTAAAATTCCATTTATCTCTTCCTGATGATTGTTCATTTAACTCAAAATGTTTTATTTCTTCTCTTACTAGATGACATTCTTGACTGTCTTGCTTCCTGTTTTAAAATCCAAGACTTATGAAATTTAAACTCATTTGTGAATGTACAAATGTGTTTTCATTTACTGTTGGCTCTAATAAAAAGATGCTTTTTATAGACAAATGGCTCTTAATGGGTATAAAAATACAGTTAGAAGAAATAAGATCAAATATTTTATAGTATAGTTGATAGTATGGTAGGGTCATTATAATTATTAATAATGTATAGTTAAAAATAGCTAGAAGAGAAAAATTAGAATGTTCCAACATAATGAAAAAAATAAATATTTGAGGTGTAGATATTCTAGTTCCTTGATTTGATCATTACACATTGTGCACAGATATGAAAATATCCGTCAACCTTCAAAATATGTACAACAATTATGTATCAATAAATAAAAGACCTCCCCCATCTTTCCCCCCCTTCCCGCCAAGTGATTCGGTTTGTGGGGAAAGATGTGCAGACTTAGGAACAATGAAAGGTTTTAGTAATTATTCTTCTCTGCACAGGTATAAGCCAGTGTTCACTCTTTAGCAGTAATATATACTTCAAGCCCTAAATATTCAAAACATGAACTAATTTTTCTTCATCATTGAAATCTCTCTATGCAAACCTAGTAGCATTTGAAAGCTAATCTCCCTATGTGCCAGAGTAATTACAGCAAAGTAAATAATCTCCAGTGTTCTTATTCCCTATAGAAATGGTTTAATATTTTATCTTTCAAAACTGGTTTTCAGCTCATTCAAAACGCCTGAGAAAAGTACTTTAGTATCCAGAAAAGGAGTAATTTTAAGAACGCTCTGGAACACCTCTCCCCTCTAGCGGTTGCAATTGTACTGGGGTACTTTCTCCATCCTAGGAAGAGAAAATACTTCTCTCTGCTCCTTTTTCCTAGCATGGGGTATGTGTGTTCCTCTGTAGAGCCCCAAATCAGGCCCATGAAACAGGAGTGTGTAGACATGAAGTGATCTATTTGGCTTGTTGATCATTCCATAGGTGGCATTCTTCCTTCATGTCATTAACTGATGCCCCAGTGTGATATTAGGGACCCACCAAGCTTTTCTATGAGATATTATATCAAGTAGCTTAGCAGCCATACTGCTTTATAATCTGCTGGGATTTTTCTTTTAATCCTTTTCAGGGTTTGTGATGCTTGTCCCAGTGTCTGTGCAAGTTCCAGAATGAGTCATTATGCAATTGCTTCTCTAGTTATAAGGCAGTCATCAACTGGGACGAGTTCTTTGCTTCTATATCTGAAATGTTGGATATCAGGCCTGAAAGTGCCAAAGCGATTCTTGCTTTTTAAACTGTGAAATTGTTTTTCACAGGCTCTTTACTAGTGTATGGGCTGGAAGCTATACATTTTTTCCCCCAAAAGGTTAAAGCTGTGAGGAGAGTTTCTCAGCATATGTGACTCATGTTCCTTCTAGAGTAGGATCATTGGGAGACATTTTGTTTTGAATAAATATGTCTTTCGTGAAGTGTGCAAAGACTTTGACATGTGCTACTTGCAGTTTTCAGCCTGTTATAATTTTGTGAAAAGTGCAGCGTTGATTGAAATTTTCTATTTTTGATCATGGTGTTAGGATGAGTTTTGTTTTGTTTTACTCTTTGCCTCAGTAAAAGATGAGGTGAAAAAAACAACTATTCATTTTTGTGAGTTTTTATGTGTGTTAAAATTGTAATATTTTAAATTTTCAAAAGACGCCTTTTTATAATACAGTTTAATTATTTAAATTTTACTTCATAGTCTATAACTACTGAATTTTACATTTTATTATTTATGCTGTGATTTGGCTGGCTACTCTAAGAATTAGGGCTTTTGGAAGTCTGTTTTTCCAACTTTACATAATTGATGTTTTCTTTACCCTTAGTAAGCTTCTAGGTCAAGGTTGAATGTGTTTATTAAGAGGTATTTTTGTAGAAGCTGCTATTCTTACGTATCGGTTGCCAAAAGCAGAAGAGGCTTTTTGAAAATGGACAAACAAAGCATTATTCATGATAAAGCATCACTGTTGGATACAGTGAAGGAAAATTTTTTGGTGAAAACCAGGGAGATCAAAAGGATTCTATGGTGACCCACCATTTCTTCGGTCCTTTCCTTCAGTTTCCCTGATCCCCTTCTCTCCTGTGTCACCATTACTCTTTGCTGATGTACAGAGTATATTGTTTGAGTATGTTCTCCACCTTATTTTCTTTTTCCCTCTTTCTTCTTTATCCTGTCAAATGTGGATGTTCTGCATGGCTCTATCCTTTCCTTCCTTAAACCCGATCCTGGAATAACTGAACATCTGTAGGCTCAACTTCACTCAGTTTTGGATCCTTTTCTGAGCAGGACAGAAAGAACAATGAGGCTTCATCTACAGTAGCATATGGGGACCCAAATCAGTCTCGCTCCTGGAGGCCAGGTGCTGAGAGAGGGGAGATAGGTGAGCCGTGGTTACCCATATCCACACCAAGCTGTATCCCTCCCCCAAGGCCTGCCAGATCTGTTCAATCTATGTGAACCAGTGGCTTCCTGGCACCCCATCCCTTTGGATGGAACCTGGCTATTTTGCCCAGCTCTTCCTATCCCTGGGAGGCTGTACTCTGTCCTTCATCTCCTGGGTCAGTGGCCGGTGACCTGCCCTGGCATGGGTAGCGTCTGACTGGAAATTCCTGCTGCTGTGCCTGACCTGTGAGATTAAATCTCTTATGTCTCATCATTGGTCTGATTAAGCCTGAGTTTGTTGTGTCCTTCAGAACATGTAGTTGAACAGCCAGCTGCCCGCCTCAAGGTTCAGTTGTAAAATTCGGTCCATTTCCAGAAACCTGGCCCTGCCTGGTGCTGGTCTCCTTGGTTTCCCCAGTGGACTGAGTTTCCCATTTGGGAATGAGTTACAATAGGCTGTTTTTCTTCCCCCTCTGCACCCACTCTCAAGGCTTTAGTAATGACATTTATTAGGAAGTATATTTCTTAAACTCTAATTGTATATTTTTAGTTAATGGACCTTGCTGGCATGTTCCCCTGGTGCCTTAAATCCAATATATGTCTAAAATTGAATTCATTGTTATTTCTCTAAAACCAAGTTCTACCTCTAGATTTTATCATTCTTTCTCTTAATGACATGATCATCTATCCCATCTTCCATGCCACAAACCTAGAGTCATCTTTTGTTCCACCTTCTACCTTACTTTTCATATTCAGTCAATTGTCAAAATGTTAATTCTTCCCTATTTCTTTGGTATATTTTCCTAAGTCTTCCTTTTCATTCCTCCACTCTGTGCCTTTGTTTATACAGTTCCCTCTCTCTGAGATGCAATTCCTCTTCATGTTTGCTTGTTTAAAACTTTGCTATCCTTTAAGAACCAATAAAGATGTTTTCTGCCCAGCTAGAAATACTCTATCTTATATAGTCTTAAAAAAACCCAGGGGAAAAAAAAAAAAAAAAAGGAAAATGTATTTATCATTATTTATGTGCCTGTTGAATTGTCCTGGCTATAGTGTAAGCTCCTGATATAAAGGTATAGATGTGTGTTTATGTGTGGCTTATTACTATGTCATCTTAAAACCGACTCATATCTTCCTAAATTGGTCGCTGAACTCCAGGCATCATTGCTGCCTGACATGAATATCCTTTCTGTGTGTCCTACAGCACCACTTTCTGTGGCCCTCAAGTTCATGTCAACCACCTTTTGTTTGTATTGACCTATAATGCCTAAAAATTGCCCATTCTGTGGACAATGTCTTTCCAACCATCCCAGTTATTTTCCAAGATGAGCCCCCAAACCAGAAGCAGACACAGAAGAAACCAAAAGAGGTCAAATAGAAAAGAAAATGGTGTAACCACTTTGGGAAACAGATGGGTTAAGCATAGAGTTACCATGTGACCCAACAGTTCTTTTAGGTATGTGTTGATGGAGCTCAGAACACAGTACTCTAAAATGAAGGCCTCAGGTGAAAAAGTTCTTCTCTGACCTTCCCTGGTCTTCCTGCCTCTTAGTACCATTCTTTCCTGAGGCTGGCCATAGAAACTAGAATCCCTCTTCCCTAATGCAAATCACAAAAGCCAGAACCCCTTTTCCCTGAAAACCAGCCATAAAACCTAAAATTATTCTATGAAAAAACTGGCCATAAAGAAATTATCTGACCTGTCTTGTTTGACTGTAGGCCATAAGTCCCTGTTCCAGAAAGGGCCCTGCCCCCACCCAGAAGGAAGGAATGCACACTTAGGCCAAGAATCATCTAGACATAGGCCTTGCTGGATTGCCCCACTCGGCCTGTTAGCATCAGATCATACACTTTTTGTACAATCATATTTCTACACAGCTGCCCATACTTTGTTGAACCTAAGCATGAAAATGGACAATTTCCCCTGTGTCTTTGAGTTTTCAATCTGAAGGCTTCTGTGTATACATGTTAAAATAAATTTGTATCTTCTTCCTCCTGTTAATCTACCTCATGTCAGTGATTTTTCAGCAAACCTTAGGGAGGCAGGAGCATTGTTCCCTACAATATCCAAGAGAACTGAAAATATATGTCCACACAAAGACCTGTACATGAATATTCATAATAGTATTAGTCATAATATTTAAAAGGTGGGAACAACCCATATGTCCATCAACTGATGAACAGATAACCATATCTGGCATATGCATACAATGGAATACTATTCAGGCATAAAAAATGAGGTACCAACATATGTTGTGATGTGGATGAGCCTTGAAGATATGCTAAGTAAAAGATGCCAGTCATAAAAGGCCACATATTATATGATTCCATTTATATGAAATGTCTGGAATCGGCAAATCCATAGAAACAGAAAGCAGAGTAGGTAGTTACCATGGGTCGCCATGGGGGTATGGGGAGTGACTGCTAATGAATATGGGGTTTCTTTTTAGGATGATGAAAATGTTCTGGAATTAGATACTGGTGATAGTTGCCAAACTCGGTGAATATACTAAAAACTCCTGAATTGCACACTAAAAAAAATCATGAATTTTTAAGGTACATGAATCATATTTCAATAAAGCTCTTATTTAAAAGAAAGACAAGTAAAGAAAAAAATTAGAATTTTAAAGGTGAAAGGAGAAAGTGTTTGAATATGTTTTTTTGAGCCAAGGTGGGCCCTCTGCCTGTGGTTAGGTCAGTTTGAGCACTTTGGCAGATGAGGAAGTCAAGACCCAGAGAGATTAAGGAACCCTAGTTAGACTCCT